TAACATTGCACTTTGTATCCTGAATGCAGTATTTTTTTATTATATTATTTTGCTCTGCTCTTTTTATTCAAACCACAAGCTAAGTTATGTTAAAGGTAAAAGTGCACTTTTTCTTTCACATTGATCACTTCATTTACCAGTTATCAAGGTTTGGATTTGGGATCCACTTGAATATTTTAAAGTTTGCTCGTTTACATTTTGTATTTCATAAGTGGTAGTTGAAGAGGTTCAGTACAGACTAGAGTGTTAATTTATTCCATACACATTGATGTTCTTACTGTGACATTCTGTTTATGCTCATAAGAAAAATAAAACATATTTTTGGGATGAAATAGCAGTCTCTTTCTGCACAAAACATGTACCGAAACCGAACCGAGACCGTGGCCCAAAAACCGAGGTACGGACCGTACCGTGGGCTATCTGTACCGTTGCACCCCTAGCATCAATAGTAGTCGTGTCTCATTCATTTCTTAATTTTATATTTGGAATAAATCCCTCCACCGCATACCGTAACCCCTTTTGCTTCGATCTTGCTTGATATCGCGGAGGTATTGCTCCAAAAAAGGTCACTGACACGCACGGGAATACCCTTTGCCGTCATGGCAATCTGTCGCGCTGCCTGTGTTTGACCATTTGTTTGACGGAGGTAGCAGCAGTAACTAAGGGGGGCGGGGCTCGGCGAAAGGCTAATTTCGACCGAGAATTTCAGACTCAAGACCTTAAAGGGTTAGTTCACCCAATAATTACATCATTAATGCAGACATGAAAATCGCTGTTTTGAAACCAAAATAGGTGACCTACGTGAATTGTGTAGATTCGATGAGAAAATGTTGGGGGGTGGGGGTGGAACTTTTCCCTCCGCTGCGGCTGTCGGTAATTCTCCATTCAGCATTTAAACAGCACAGCGTGTCACGTTCGGCAATGATGAAACTCTCTCCAAGATGATTAAATGTTAATATTATTAACTCGATATGTAGATAAAGCTCTATGGTTTCGCATAAATTGACTATCTTGCATCACAACACTGGAGAGCACTATCATTGTTCTTCACGCGCACAGTAACTGAAATGTAAAACTGTTAAAAGGAAAGGCTCAATAAACTATTGTATATTAGGCCATCCTTAAAAATATTTTGGTTTGCAGTAACAGCAATTTTTAAAAAAAAAAGGGTCGGTAGGTAGGTCTATATTTTTTTTTTCCAGGATTCAGTGTAAAAAAAAAGTAAAATTTTGGTCATGGTGATCATGAATTTTTTTTTTTTTTTTTAATTGCATACTGTGACGTCACTGACTGGGTCTTCAAACTGTGCATCCACCACTAGGTGTTATTGCAACCTACAACCGGTTACGTTTTTAGGCCAGTCACAAAATGAATAAATATCTACTGTATTTGTTATGCAGCAGTGTGCAGGCTTTTTTTTCCCCAAATACATGAGATATAAGCAAAAACAAGTACAAACACATGGTGAAACAAAGAATACAATTAAACAAAGATACAAATTAGCCTATATACACAGTGCTTTAATTTCAGAAAGGTCTAAAATTAGCTACTTTTCAGTTAAGTGTGTTGCGCTGTCTGAAAAGAAATTTAATTTAGTAAATCAAATGTAAAATGACACTGCATGGTTTATCATAGTTAGATTAATGCCTATTAAAGTTTAAGTTAATAATTCAAGAGCTGCGAGGGATTTTTCTCTGCCTTTTGTTGTGTTTGATTCCCATTACTGGCTCAATCGTCACATGTTTATTAGACTACTGCCCCTTTAAGACCGAGTGCGGATCTAACAGATGACTGATGCACCACCATATCCTCCCAACTATTCACATCCATTTAAGACATAAACTGTGTTTAAATGAATCTCAGAGCAGGTCATTTTAGATTTTATGTATATTTGATAGTTTAGCTGGTTGACAGGGTCGGTCGGGTTACGGCAAACAAGAATATTTTTAAGGGTGGCCTTAGATAGATACTGTAAAATACACCATGCATCGATATATTTCCTTTTCCAAACGTACTCTGAAGGCCATTGCACACTGAGTCCGAAATTTTCGTGTGCGTTTTTTCGTGTTTGTCCCCCTGAAAATTCGTCACTGAGTCCGATGCGTATTTATTAAACCTTTGCGGGAAAAAACGCAAAAATACGAAATGAATTCGTCAAGCAGCGAGGATGATTTTGTTGCCCTCTCTCTTATTGAAAAGAGAAGAAAGAGAAAATATTGCGTTTGCGTCCATCCAATCCTGAAATTGCGCCGAGAGGAAGCACCTCCTTATCAAGGAGTTGCGATTCAGAATGTCAGTGGAAAAGTTTGATGCTGGAGCCACATTTTAAAAACAAGAACACCAATTTCCGTGAACCAAGTTATCGAATCTTTTCAACTTTTAATCGATCAGAAATTTCAATCTGATTGAAAGGGGAGGTTTATTCCTTTCATAATCCAATCGAGAGAAGAGAACATAAACACTTGATCGAATTTTTTTTTTTGATTGATTGATCGAATTGAAAACCGAAACTGAAAGCACTGCGGATATGTGAAATGATGTGTGGCGATCTCCAGTCGGCCCTGAATTGTCAAAAAACCTCTCAGAATGCTGGCTGTGGACGCGAAAAACGCATAAAATCGAACCCGATCCGATTAATTTTATGACGGACGAAAGTTTCGGAGGCGGTGAGCAAGCGTGATTGACATAACGTGAGGACGAATTTTTTTTTTTTAACGTGCGAAAATTTCGGATGCGAATTTCGGACTCGGTGTGCAATGGCCATAAGGGCTGTGTGCCGCACTCTATTGGGGTCTTTCATAATCATATCATAATTAGGGCTGTGCAAAAGTTAATTGCGATTAATCGCATCCAAAATAAAAGTCTGTGTTTACATAGTATATTTGTGTGTGCTGTATATAATTATTTTGTATATATAAATACACACACATGCATGTATATGTTTAAGAATTATTTGCGCTTAAATTCTGTATATATATAAAAATACATAATCTATATTATATAAATATAAATATTTTATATAGGAATAACACATTTTCTTAAATATATACATGCATGCATAGGTATTTATATATACAAAATAATTATATACAGCACACTCAAATATATTATGTAAAACAGACTTTTATTTTGGATGCGATTAATCGCAATTAACTTTTGCACAGCCCTAATCATAATACTTTTGCGCAATGAAAGATTATTAATAGTAGTTTTTGTTCTGTTCTGTCCTATCTATCATGTGTTGCTGCCTCATTAAATGGCTGTGCTATATCTTTTTTTTCTTAATTTAATAATTGGCTGTAAAATAATTGATCTTTTTGATTTTTATCTTGTTTTTCATGAATGTATTTTACAACAATACAAAGAGGAATGTGTACATTTTACCAGATTATTGTCTCTTATTTGTTCCCCACTAAATTTTTTTTTCATTAAATGTTAAAATTATTGTTTTTCTAGACTAAATTTGACTGAGTTACCTGCTAATCTAGTTTATAATAAAATTTTGTCATAGGTTATGATCATAATACTGAAGTAGTGTAAGGAGATCGCAATTCTCGCGCATGCGTCGTGGAAATCTAAGGAAATCTCGTTTCTGGCCTACAAGGAAGAAAAGAAATAGTCGAATAAACTCGTTATTTTTGTTTGTTTTTTTCGCACAAAAAGTATTCTCGTCGCTTGATAAACATATAGTTGAGCCACGGTAGTCACTTGGGATATTTAAACATTTTCTTCATTGACTTTCTGGGCCGTCAAGAGGCAGTCCCTTAGGAGCCAATGTGGTAGTTATACAGCTCTCAAATTTAATCAAAAATATCTTCATTTGTGTTCCGAAGACGAACGAAGGTCTTACGGGGTTGGTACAGCATGGGGGTGAGTAATTAATGACTTAATTTTCATTTTTGGGTGAACTAACCCTTTAAGCTTAATGAATTGAATCGTTGAACACAGCTGCAGGAGAGAACGCAACGTTAGCCAGCTAACTAAAGCTCCGGTGGAAAATTATTTGCTAACGCTATGGAGGCCATAATATTTTTGAATCACAGCTGAAGTTAAGTTTCTCCAGCTCTCCCCAGGTTGCCAAAAATGCATCTCAAAATGCATCAGATTGATGCTTTAAAATATGGAATATTTACATTTTTCTTACGGGGGAGCATGCCACCGGACCCCCCTAGAGGGGTAATATCCTCCTCACCTTTTTCTCCCCTGACCCGTTTTCATGCCTGTTAATGACTCACCCTCATGTCGTCCCAAGCCCGTCAGACCTCCGTTCATCTTCAGAACAGTTTAAGATATTTTAGATTTAGTCCGACATTTATTTATTGTAAATGTGTGTACGGTATACTGTCCTTGTCCAGAAAAGAAATAAAGACATCATCAAAGTAGTCCATGTGACATCAGTGGGTTAGTTACAATGTTTTGAAGCATCGGAAATACATTTTGCTCCAAAAATAACAAAAACTCCGACTCTATTCAGAATTGTGTTGACTTCCGGTTCTGTTGTGAATCCGCGTTCAGTGACTCTGCTGACGCATACGCAGAGAAGCCGTGATGGTGAAGTGGAAAGTGAAAAGCACACATTCAAAAGCAATTTCAATACCCCGAATATTGACGGCTTCTCCCTGATACCCAAAAATTAGGTATAGTATCATTGCGAGAGAACTCAAAACTAGGATTGAAATAGGTTTTCCCATCACCGTGTCCCATCATGTAGAATTAGGCATTTCCTTTACGAACATCGTATCCGGCTTCATCTCTACACCATGGATTTTCCATTCACATTTTACTGGACTCCTTCAATTTTAATAATCTAAAAGGATGTCTAATTAATTAAATGTATTTAACATTATTATTATTATTAACAATAATAGTGATCTATGAAAAAAGTGGCATGACTAGTAAATCTCCATGTCGCACATACTGTCATGCATTGACAACGGGGAGTCTGTTTTGTCCACTATTTCTGACGTTGGAAACTGACCCGATGTTTTGTAATTTTTCAGATGAGACTGCAGCAGGAATTGAAGAAGGTCCCGAAACTGCAGAAGTTCTGGAACCTCATTAAGAAGAACTATGAGAAGATGGAGCCTCAGGATGCGGAGCAGTAAGACCCCCTCACACCCCACAACCCTGAAACACGTCAGAACGACGTCCCGTGTGTCTCACGAACTGTGTTTCCACAGAGCGAAGAAGGAGCGCACCTTCCTCGCTGCTCTCATCAAGAAGTTCCTGGGGGTTCTCATGTCCATCCCTGCGTCAGGTAAAGCTTCTCATTAAGATCAACACCTCTATACTAGGGATGCTCATTTCGGTTCATTTTCCCGACCGATAACCACCACTCGTTATCCGAGTATTAACCGTTAACTAAGATTATAATAGCCTGCCCTATTGAATTAAATAAAAACAAAATTGACGAGTGCCTGTGACCTATTAAAAATACAAAAAAAAAAAAAAAAATGTAACGTGCAAACAGCAGAACAGATCAAAAACAGAACCCGGATTCACATCAAATGTTCACAAAAACAATAATATAATATTAATAAAAAACAAAATAGGTCTACGCTCATTTTTTTTACTTAAATAATTAACAAATTAAGATGACAATAAATAAATTTTCCATCAAATAAAAATAGCAGGCCTGCCTCAATACTCACATTGTCTAGTTTTTCTTTTTAAAAAGTTACATGTCTACACCTGATGTGGGGTTAGTCTGGAGTAGGGCTGGGCGATAAAACGATAACGATAATTATCGCGATATAATTTTCCTCGATAAAACGATATCAAGAGGTCGATAAATGTTCGATAATATTTATGCGTCAAAAAAGCGGAACGAAACTCATTTAAACCGCGCGCGCCACACGGAGCATTTATCCGCTCGGCTCAAAGTCCAAATGGCAGTGCATTGAGCGGAGTGTGAGCTCACGCAGACGCGCCTCTGATCGTTTTGCTCATGAGATCCAGTGAGAAGCACTTGAGTTCAGCGAAGAACACAAATGTCAAGTTTAAACCAGTTTAAAGGCAGATTAAACACCGCTGACAAAAAGGAGAAACACTGCGTGCAACGATACAGTCAGAATCTGAGTTGATACTGAATCCATTTAGCCTACCATGGATTTACTGTAAGGTTAGCCTGGTAATATTAACTGCACAATGAAATGTGGGATATACATATTGAATTGTATAATATTATTAATGTTGACAATGTATTATGACTAATGGAATATAAGTACAGTATTTAATAATGTATTTAGCTGTCAGGCTATTGTTTTTCATTAAAAAAATACAGAAAACAAAGTTATGCCATGATAGTGAGGAGCTAAGTTATAGGCTATACCTGGTTTTATCTGTGGTTATCATGATCTAAATGCATGAGACTGAATGACCAATGGTTAATTTGAATGCAACTCAAACAGTCAGAATATTACTTTTTACCAAATAAAAATGTGGTTGTTACATAAGAAAAAAAAACTTTTTTGTTAGTGAACATAAATTTAAAGAGTAGTTTAAAAACACAATTAACACTCTGGTTTATACAACTTTGTTGCAAAAATCTGCCTTTAAACTTGAAAAAAATTAATATTTGACATATATCGTGATAATTATCGATATCGACTGATATAAAAAAAATTATCGTGATAATTTTTTTTGGCCATATCGCCCAGCCCTAGTCTGGAGCGCAGCAGGAAACACATGATCCGATGGCGAATACAGAGATAACGTCTCGCTCGAGTGCCCAGCTTCGGGAAGAGACTTTCATTTGCTCGCGGATGTTTGCTTCGAAAGTTATATTGCATTGTACTTGTAATTACTGCTGTATTTTAGCATATTTCACAAGTAACTTCATCACTAGGGCTGTGAATCTTTGGGTAGACAGCGAATCGATTCGATTCACGATTTATAGGTTTTCGATTCAAGAACGATTTATGCAAATTCAGAACGATTCAATTCGATGCGATTCACATCCAAATTCGCTGCGATTCGATTAATTCGATTCTTGATTTTATTTTTTTTATTTTATTTTTTTTATATGCTTTATAGTATTATTTCAATGCTTCACCCAATGGGTCTTTGTCTGGGTTTGAATTAGCCTACACAGCGGCCTTCAGGGGTCAGATAGTGGGGATTTTGTCCATTGTTAATGTTAGTTCATGTTTGTTTTTAATTTTAATGAATATATTATTATAAGGCAAGGCAAGTTTATTTATTTAGCACATTTCATACACAGTGGCAATTCAAAGTGCTTTACATGGAAGAAATTAAAATAATCAAAAGAAATCAGAATAATTAAAACAGTTTAGAATAAAAAATAAAATGAAGTACAGTAATAGTCGGACGAACAGTGGCACATATATAAAACAGTGGCACATTTATAAAAAAAAATTCAATGGCCTACAAATTGGCATTTGTAGAAACCTACCTAAGTAGCCAATACTTTAAAAAAGGCTTTTAAAGTATTGCATTAAATGACTACATGCACACATTAATGGAGACGTTTTCATTAGT